TTTCGATCGAATCCTGAAAGCTTCAAACTGCAACGCGCCGGCTTCAGGCTTGAGCCCCAAGATGGAAGAAGTGAAGGGCCACGACAGAATACAAGTCATTGCTACTACCTAGCCCTAAGCAATTTTTCTTGAACCCTTGCCAAAACAGAATAGGAACCCTCGACATTGGAACTCTTCAGGGTCCCATTTTCCTTCTAAGATTGTCCTTGGGATCCTGAAGCTTTTAAGCTTTAAGGCCCTACAGGCTTAAGCCCCAAACTCAAGATGCTGAGTCTTCCAGCGTCGGGCAGTGCAAGGCGCCGGAGCGTTGTCATGACAAGGGGGAAAGCCCGACACATGCAGTTTGAGGGGCATCTGTTTTGGCAAAAAAACGGCATGTGATGGATTCCACTCATCCTTGAGAATCCAGTTTCCTCCAAGGCTTGGTTCTTGCTTCCCCCGTAACTGCTATTACAACAATTAACCGTACTAGTGCTAGTACTAGAATGACCGCATGTAAAAAGCTCTGCGAACGATGAGGCATGTAATTTTGCCCTCAACACCGAAGGCCAGCCACAGCATTAGCCCAAGTATGATCCGTCCAGTTTGAGGGCATGCACAAACACACAAGTGACATAAAACCTATAGTACTGATTCTGATAGTCAAGTCATACAGTGACAACGGCAATGATATTCGCAACAGCTATGATGGGAACGTTTCCGTACTGCACACGCCTGCCAGTTTGAAACACCCGGAATCGTCCTGCAAGTCCCGGCATCGGGCCAGGGCCGCCAGTTCGCGCCGCAGTTCTTCGTCTGAGCCAAAAAAGTTTGCGACTGTCGCCGTCTTGGGGCACAGCGCCAACGTGCCCACGTTGACGTCGTGCAAGCCAGCTGCGGCATCTGCACCTCTCGCAATGGCTCAGCGGAGCAATGCACAAGGCCACTTTGAGTGGAAGAAAGAAGGAGTTGGCAACTCAAGCTGACATAATTAGTTGACAACCCGATTGCAAGTGGTATCGGAACTTCACGCCCCAGGCAACCTCTACCCCCAAGAACCAGAGTTCCATGCAACAAACTTCTTTAACCAGAAAGTTCCCAAAACTCCTCTACTTTAATGCGCACATGTATAAATCCAAAGGCGCGACATTCGCGCGTAGCTGAAAGCAAATCAAAGCCAAGGACCCACTTGCAGAAGTCAGCTGGTGGAATCAAAGTTCACGGAGCTGGAATTCAACAACGGGCCTCCGCCGTCCAAACTTCTGCGCAGTCTTTCCTGTTGCTCTGCAGGGATGCCGCCCGCGCGCCGCAATCGGGGCCAGGTGCCATCACTCAGCTGCTGCCAGGCCGAGGATGGGATGGCACCGCAACTCGTGAAATGGACGTCCTGAACAAATAAAAGCAGTAGCTACACGTCAGTCACTGACCCTTCGGCGGCGACCCCCGATGTTTCCCTCTCAAATGTCTTCTCACATCTGCGCATGCCCTGAAAAGCACCAAGCCACGTAGTCATAAGCAAAACACCCTTGTCCTATGCATTTTTCTAGCCGTGTTCCCGCGTCCTGCAGGTCTCTGCATCTGGCCAACGCCGAGAGCAGAGCAGCTGCCCCGTCGCCGGAAGTTTCGAAACACCTGGGCCGGGCAGCCGGAGAAGGGCCTGGAGGCTTAACAAAAGAGAGCTCCCCTCTCGCAGCGCCCTCCGAGGCGCGCATAGAAGTTGGCTTTGGCGAGCTTCGGCCACTCGGCGCCCTGGAGCTCGCGCCAGGCCTCCGCCGGGACCTTCGTGCACAAACCCATGGAGAGCTCCTGGCGGTGGGCTTTCGGGGGGAAAGGGTTGCAGGGCAGCTCGAAGCGGCTGAAAATGTAGGGAGTTCAGGGAGTTCAGGCTTCCTGCAAGCACTGCAAGCATGCTCAAGACGGACACATGGCAGAAAACCCCAAGCTTCTAATTAGAGCCTTGTCTCACAAATTCTAGCAACATGGACTGCGAAGGCCAACAAACACAAGGACTCAGCTAGCATACTCAGCGCCTTTCTGTGCACAGCGTGCTGTCCAAAACTGGCACGCTAAGCCGCTAAGCAAGCGGCCTGACGCATCTCACGCTTTCGATC